GGAATGGAATTAATATGAGAAAATGAAAAAATGGAAACAAAGTCTTTGTAAATAGGAACGGATGGAAGGGTTGAAGGGAAGCAGGGGAAGGGGGAAAAATTAAGAACCAAGAGAGATTATGTAAAGGTGCAAATTTCCAATGATGAATGTCATTATATTGTATACCCAAAATGTACCAATAAAATTAATTAAAAAACAAACATTTAAATCAGTGGGCTTGAGTAAACCATGCTCACCAACATAATGTAAGGTCTCATCCAATTTGCTGAAGACCTGAATAGAAAACAAGTTTAACCCCCATGCCCACTCCCAGTATGAGTGAATTTTGCCTGATAACATTTGAATTGAAGAGCCCAGTGGCTCTGCTTTCTTAATAGCCTCCAAAGCAGGCTTCCTGGTTCTACAGGAGCTTCTAGTCTTTGGAGTCAATAGGACATCATCTGTGCATATTTTGGACTGGCCAGCCTTCATAATCACATGATCCAGTTCCTTCTAATAAATCTCCTTTGACACATACATAAATATCTTCCATTCTTTCTGTCTCTCTGAAGAACCCTAACTTACAGGCTCAAAGTCCAGCTATGGGGAATATTCCCAAGTGAACTCTCTCCATGCAACCTTTCTCAAACAACAACCCATAGTATAGTACTATGAACCAAATAAACCACCAAACCAAAATGCCTATCAAGAAACATTCACTGAATGAAATAAAAGTACTTAAAGGTAAGATCTGCCAAGGACAATATCAAACTGTGTAATTCATTCCCTCAAGAATTCTCATAAAGTGAGTGATATGGTGTTAGTTTATAGCTAGCCTTGCCCTTTCCTGCATATGCTGACTAGATGAGATTTCTCTGCTTTTATGAGTTAGTTACTGCTATTTGAAGCAGGTCATTGGGAAATAAATTTAAAACAGGGAGAACAGTTATAAATTAATTCATTCCCCTCACAATACATAGCACAAATACAAAGCAAAGAAGCTTACTTGAATTGCAGCCAAGTTCTTCTGCTCCTGAGATGGTGCCTCATGAACAAAGCGAAGCCAGTTGGAGTGTCGTGGGTTGGTAGCATCCAAGATGTACAGAACTTCTCCCTTACTCCCACGAACCTGGAACATAAAAGGCTCTTGAATTTCCACTTGAAAGAGTATTAATCATACTAAATGTATCAAGAGTACAGACATGATTTTTTTTCATGAGTGTACACCCTTTTTATTGACAAGTGTCAAATAGATGCTGGATTAACAAGCATTCCTCCTTCAAACATAGGTACAAACAGAGCCTACTCTCTAATTTGGCAGATATCTGGATGACTCGGAATTGCAATAAACTCTCAGAAACATCCAGTGTTGACAGTTCTTTTCTGATCAAAATTACTTCTCTTTACAGACAAACTTTAATATATGTGTTGTAATCACAGTTCTTCAGGGAGTGACCATAACTGTCACCCTTCCCTTTTCCTCCACAGAAGGGTATGTGGAGGAGGAGGACCCCCACACACACTTTCTCCCTCCTCTCGTTCACTGAATCACCTCCATAAAAGGAGAATTTGCTAATCTAACCAAAGGGAATCGGACACCCAATGGGACATGTTATGGGTTGTTTTTAGACATCCCCTCAAAGCCTCATGGGAATGAAATGGGGCTTTTCAGAGGTGACGGGATCTAGAGTGACACTGGAATTGATTCATGGTGCAATGCTAGGGTCAAGGGTGATAGGATTAAGGGTGCGAGTGCGACCTGCCCTAAATAGTCTGGATAAGATGAAAGGGTAGAAAGAAGTTGCTAAGGTCCCTTGTTGCTTTGCTGCCTTCAGCCCACCATGAACTATTGCCCCTCTGCCATGCCACTCTGCCTTGGAGCCTGCTGATTATGGACTGAAACCTCTACAAAATGATCTTAATAAACTTTTCCCCCTTTAACTTTGGGTGTCAGGTATTTTTGTCTGAGCAATAAGAAAAGTAACTAAAACAGGACATAAATTCAGATTCTTCAGTAGTGCATGAAAAAGTACCATTTTGTCTTTCCATTGCCTGCTAGTATATTGCTTAATAGGACAGTGCTCTCTAGGATTTTTGTTTCAGACCATAAATCCTTGCTGGTCAAACCTACTGTATATTCAAATTGAAAAAGGGATACTTCACTGGACATTCTTGAATCCAACTTGCTTGAAATCTAGTTTCTCCAAAACCCCTATATTGTCTGGTTTAATACAATATATATATATACCAATCTCCACTCAACTCTCATTTTGTTTCTATATACCCTTGGAATCCAGCAGATGAGGAAAAAGAAATGAGTAATTAGTACTCCAGATTTCCAATGCCAAGGAACAGAAGATAAAGCCCACAAATTCACCTTTGCAGAGTTAGTGTAAGGAAAAAAATTCTCGATATCCAAAATTTTACTTTATAAAATAAAGTAAACAAAACATCAGAACAACCAGTTCAACAAAACACCAGTCCAACAAAACATGTATCTTCATGATACACTCGAACCATTTGAACAATCATTCTTTCGACAATTATTGAGTTCTTAACAGCTATGGTATAAGACTCCTTCTGTGAACAAGAACCTGATTGCACCACATTTAAAAGTAAATAAATACAAAATACAACTTCCTGTAAAGATGAACAGGAGCACCATGAAGGCAAGAAAGGCAGAGGAGAAACAGCAATGGGAGAAGCACTCTATGAGAAGGAGTGGTCAGGTAAATCCTCTTTGATGAGGAAATCAGAGAAGAATTCTAAAGGGAAGAAAGTTCCCAGGCAGGGGAAATAGCAAGTAAAAGGAAAGCAGGAAAACCCTGAGTTTAGGAACAAATTAGGTGTCTCCAAGTAACAGCAAGAAGGCATGGGGCTGGAACAGGAGCAATGAAGAAAGTGGTGGACATGGAGATCAGACAGATCGGCCAATGCCACATCACAAACCAACATACAGACCAGGAAGCCATCCACATAGTTAATTTTGCCACATGCAGTTTATTTTCACCAAAAATGTGGTATAAAGTCATCTGCTGCTTGCACTGCAAATACTGTTATTTTAAGATTCTAACATATATTATGCAGGAAAAAATTTAGTTCGCCTGCTCCCACTATCTGATATAATGTCACATTCCTCAAACAATTTCTGTTTTCTTAAATGCCCAAGAAGCTTCAATAATCCTTAAAAAAAATCTCTCTAATGAAATGCCAGACCCTCACTGAGAAGCAGGGATTTAATGTTCAATATTATAATTGCTGACAGAGGAATTTAGGACAGTGAATACTTAATATTTATATTTCATATACTTAGGTGTGAAGCTATGGAAATTTGTTACACTTCTTACTAAATAAAAAACTCATCGAAATCATCCTGCCTCCCTACTAATCCCCAATTCAGAACCCTCAGTGCTCCCTGGGCAATGCCAAGAGTCCTGAAATATTGCTAGATAGATAGAAAGCATATTTGGTATCTCTCCCTCAAAGAGGACACTAGTCCACATTTCTTTTAGCGGAATAAACAAGAAATTTTGAATGTTTGGGAATAAAGTCCTTCCTTTCATGTATCTCCATACCCACAGTAACAAAACTTTATATTGACAAAGGGTTGAAGTATGCACAGCAGGTAGCAGGGCCACTAATACTTGAAAGAAGGAAAAAAAACTCTCAAGAGAACTGAACTTTAAAACCAAGGACTGTGATTGAAATCCAGGCAACCTAACTGCATGAGGGGACATACCAATACATCTGTCAACAACATATCTGTTTGAGAGGAAAACGTTACTTAGACACACTAGCTTAGGGTCCTTCTCAGTCAAACATTTGTTACTCCGTATTAAGCATGGTATGTATCAGATGTGTTTGACATTTGCAATTCTATCTTCAAAGATGTGAAACATAACAAATATTTCTCTGTGACTTATTATAGTAAGCACAGCTGATATTTTACCATGAGTATTGTTTGTTCTTTATGTATTTCAGCTTTTTCTCAGGCACTCTGCCCCCAGCTATGTTCAATTACTCAGAATTAGTAATTCATTGTCCTCATCAGTCCAATGTATACACTTTCTCTTATAATACTGCATCTTAAGAGAAATGCACAATTCATACTAAATTCTTCTGAAATGTGTCACTTTCAACACAAGCAAATTTACTTTTACTGATTTACTTTTATTCTCCTAACAAGACTATCACAGTCAGCAATACACTATATGTTGCCTACATCTTCATATTTGAAATAACTTTCTTTGTTCAGTAAGAGTCACTGCTCCTTTTCTTCAAACACCCATACCCAAGTGATTTTTAAGTTCCCACAGCCTTTGCTCTGTGGCCTGCCAGTTTCTCCAACTTTCAAGGGGCTGGTTCGTTATTCCACCGTCCCAGTCTTCCGTGCTTCCCTAAAGTTGTTACATTTCATTAGCTGCTCACGTGACTTTTATCTTTCTCCTCTTACCATAATATTCTCCTCTCTGACATATCATCTAAAAGAGAAACCCAAAGATAATCTAAGCCATCCTTGCGCTCTGCAACACAATAAGATCAAGACAACTCCAGACAGACAGATGGCTACTATTACAGTCTCCATTTATGTTTTATTTTGATACTGAATCCTGAGGTAATAAATTGGACATTTGTAATGAATAGAGAAGACTGGAAATTCCTTAGTACCAGACTCCAGCATTTCAGTAGCCTTTGCAGCCAAAGAAAATGTAGTTTTTTTCCTCTCAAAATATGTCTTTTAAAGTCATCATCTTTTACTTAAACTTTCATGGAAATGAAGTATATTGTTACCTCCTACTTAGGATTGTTCTCTACCTTCCGCATACTTGGAGCTATTAATGAAGTCACTATTTTCATCTTGTACTAAAAACCATTTCAATTCCAAAGTCTGTTTGATTTGCACAAATTTCCTTTGCTAGCTACACAAAACGTTAGGAAAAGGATAAAGTACTCATATCAAAGGAAAACCTTGCACTTCTCTATAGTTGGTTCATATCCTCTAACTCTGCCACTCTGTGTTAAATGAAAATTATACCCATGTAGGAATTTGGCAGTGACCAGCCTCAGAGAAGGTCATTGCTGGTCATTGCTACCAGGGATCTGTACCTCTTCCAGACTAAAGATGACCAGTAGTAAATATAATTCACAGTTTTCTTCTTCCTGCCCAGGTAAGGACAGAGGAAACCACAAAAAGATTCCGCTGGATTAGACAAAACTCTAACATGTGAGTAAAAGAAATACTGAAAATAGGTGGTCAGTATAAGCCTCCTATCCCTAAATTTCAGTGTATTCTTTGTTAAACTGTGTCAACTCTAGACAGAGGAGCTCATTTTAGAATTTGGATGCTCAATTTTCAATGGAGAAGAGACTACAATATAATTTGCTCTATTATTATTTCCTTCAATCATTTCAAATCCTGAGAGATTTTTACTCACTACGTCCATGACTCAAAGTGCCAAGGCAAAGTTAATCAGCCAGTTTTTTTCCCAGAAATAACCCAGAAAAGGTTATAATACATTATGTTGTACAGCTTACTTATTAAGAAAATATATTCCCTATCTTTTAGTGTGGGTTTTCAAAAAAGGAAGTTATTTGAGCACTAAAATTTATGGGATGGATTTTTTAGATTATAAAATATCATCATAGTTTTGTATTTCAATTTGAGGCATTCTTTCTGCAACTTTCATAACTGAAGCAAGCCATATGCTTTGCCTTCAGAGTTTAATTAGCCAAACTTCAAGATACCTTTACAAGCACAAAAAATCAAGTGTGCTGCAATAATCAATTCTGACAGCATACTGTTGTCAGATTTAAACCAAAGAGAAAAACACTTTCAGAAATCAGCAAAGATCATCACCAGGAAACCGTAGTGATTTATAGTTTTAAACAAAGGGCATGTTTTCATTTTTGGCTTTTTTTTTTTTTTTTTGGTCTCCTGTTAATTTTTCAAAGGATTCTGCCTACCATGCTTCTGCTATCTTTGCTGCCTATAAACACATATGCACTGCTGTAGCTGTAGCTGAGCTGCTCACATTGCCCCTGCTCCCACCTGCCAACCCTAACTCACAGAGTCCCCACCTGGAATTGGAAAGGGGAGTGAAAACACACAGGTTTGCACAGTCCCCATCA